TCTATTCCCCCTCTACCATTTTGCTGCCCCTCCCACCCTCCAAATTTGTCTTCTATCAGATGAACTTTGCATTATTATCACATTCTGATCACTTTTGCACTCACTAAAATCTTTCTGTTCTTCCATCACCTGGGAAGTGGGAGCAACAGCTGCTGCGGGGTTGGAGCTGTAGGCCATGGCCTCTGCTCCCTCTTGCTGCAGCCACCCACAGAGCAGCACTACCATGGCAGCCCTCAGCAGCCAGCATCGCTTCCCATAGCCTACTCCAAGGGGAAAATCACAGGCAGAGCTGAGTTTTTCAAATGGAAGGTTTAGTATGAATGAGGCAGATGGTTTCGACTGCAAGGCCGCTACTTAACTGCTCCTTGAAGACTAGATGTGGCCTGCGGTCTGCCACGAGACTTTCTACAATGCTAGCCCTATCCAAATAAAATGCTTCTCCCACCACAAACTTCCAGTGAAATTCACTCTGGCATTTTCTTACCATTGCCGTCTTCTGGAGTTTGCCTTTGTGTAGTGGACAACATGAAGTCAAGGAGAGGTGGGGACGGAGAGAACATGCAGTCTCCTCTGCCCCTGTTAGAGGATGTCCTCCCTGACATTGCAGCAGCCTGCTCTGTCTTTGCTCTGTGTTACAAGTTCACAGCAGAGATCCTTGGTTCAGTCCAGCTGCTGACTATATTGTTTATACTTCGTGTGGACAATGCTGGTTGCATCATGACAGCTCTTTGTCATTCACATACATGCCGTGGTAGTAAAACTGATATGGAACCAACCCAGAATGATGGGAAAATCCCTACAAAAGTCAGGTTAGGTGCCAGTTACAAATGATTTCCAGAACAGCTGGAAAGCTCAGAGTGTAAGGATAATTTTTTGTCTTTTTTGGTACTTACTCAAGTGCAAAACATGTGGACTCTTGCCGGAATTCTTCTCCCTGTTCAGATTTCAACCATCCAATTAGCATTTCTCAGATAGTTCTGATAGTTGGATCTATGCTGATTGTGGGCGTTTTCGGGGTTTAAACGATATTCAGTTTATACTGGACTAAATTTTTTTCATGTTACTGATAGATAAAAATATTTTCCCTATAACCTAGTAAAAGCAGAATGAAGCCTCAGTTCTGGTTTCAAAATTACACGTATACATACATAATATGTATGCCTTAGTTGGTGAGGAATGAGTTTGTTGAACAGTGAGGGTCAGGGCTACACCAGCATCTGAAATGTGTTATTTATCAGCAGATCATTATGGCCAGCACCGCACAGCATGTGAACTTCCTCACACCACTCTGCCAAAGCTCCCCACGTGGCTGACCTGCCCTATTGACTTGAGTTTCAAGGAGCTTCCAGTCGACATCTGGGGATTCAATCTCACTGCACTGCTTGTGCCTCTGTGGTAGACCAACCTTTCCCCTCCCTCGTCCCCAGCACAGGAAAATAAACCTCTACAGGCCCGACTTGGAGGCAAAGTTTCTCCATACAGGTCTCCTCTCTCCCACTGATTTGAGTGGGAGAAGCTCAGGGTATGACTTCAATCCCCTCCTTTCATTTTGCCAAGAACATGACTTACTGAGCACACAGCTATGCAGACCTTCTGCAAGTTGTAATACCTGTCATTTGATTAATTCATGTGTCCAGGCAGTGAGTGTCATTTATAAATGTTCCAACTGAGGGGATCTATAGGAGGGAAAACAGTGAATTATTCTGCTTTGAACATTTGAGATATTTAATACCAGGGGGTCAAAAAATTAAGCTACCTTAAAATACTGTGTGTTTTCTCTTCTGGTGTCTTGTTTTTTGGGGGTTTTTGTTTGTTTGTTTGTTGGTTTGGTTTGGTTTTTTTTTCACCTACATCATCTTTAAGAACCTTTCAGGCAATCAGGACACGTGAAATTTTTAAAATCAGAGTTGTCCAGAAAATGGAAAGTCCTTGTCCATTTTCTCCATATTAGAACATGTTTCCTAAAATATCACCCAATGAGTATATAGAGATATTTTAAAACGCCTTAAAACCTTATTTGTATTCAGAATTTTATGTTGGAGTTTGAGCTTTCACAGGGAATTAGAGCTGTCATTTGATTAGCACTAAATGACATATCCAGGTTATATGGAAAGAGCTGTGCCTCTCCCCAGGAGATGAAGGCCGTCCTGGCCCTGCTACCATACCTAATTGTAGAGGGTAGAGTTCAACGGAGCAAATGGAGCTACCAGGAAACTTTAAAATTCAATACACAGACATGCTGTAGCGACTATTTACACAGTGGAGACAGTGCTCAGGCTGGATTTAGCTCTGAACATTTTATGAGACAAGTACTTTCCAGTCTGAGATGGTCAGACTACTTCAAAGAGATCTGCAGAAGGCAGCGAAGGAGAGTAAGCCATCAATATTTAACATAAGTCTGCATGTGTGAAATGTGAATTAAAAGGGTCTGCAACCTTTGCTGGAAGAATTTTAGAGACTCACAAACTGAAAAGATTAAAATTACTCATTTGAAAGTATAAACCAACAAAATATTTTCTATTCTTTGGGAAAATGTAGCAGTCAAGGAAAGGCAAGCAGAGCTACCCTGAGAAGCCACAGCAAGACTGTTTGTTTAGTTAAAGTGAGGTAGATGAGTTAGAGATATCAAGATCAAAATACCAGTTTTGTCAATCAGGAATTGCTTGAGACAGCCAGTATTAAAAAGGCAGGTATCACGTTCTCCCTGCTTCTTCCCTTCTTCCTTCACCTCACAAGTTTCATTTATCTGGTGATTTGCCTAAACCTTACGCTTAACAACCTCAGAGTAACACATACAAACGACCTGTCACAATGCTCCGATGTCTATCACATCATCCTTTTATGACAGTTCAGGAGCTAGAAAAGTATGTCGGAGACTACTTTCTACACTACAGAATGGTGCTTGGGAGCAGGAACATTTCAGACATTTCATTTAAGAGCCTTTCAGATTAGGACATTAATAATAATTTGCTAATAATATTAGCAAATAATAATCATAAATAAACACTGAAAAATATGTTAGTAAGCAGTGGTCATCTGAATAATCCCAAAAATAGAAAATCCAAACTGAAGCACTGCCTGAAATACAGCCACAGCTGGGAAGGAGACCAGTGAGTGATCTCTTCATAGCATGTGACACACAAGCAAAAGGGAGAAGAAGAAATTGTAGCATTTAGAAGAAAAACTCTGCTCTTACGCATTCCTGAGTGATGCTGCAGTGACTCTCCTTTTAGAGGGACTCATCTGAATTCACGGTTTTCCCAATGAGAGGATTGATTATACAATGATGGAGCCATTTCAGTTCTAGTATCCTCTCAAGATATTTAGTACATGCATTGAAAACCAATTTCTTGTGTCTTGCTCTGCACTACCGAAGATTATATTTGTTTCAGCGATGTGCTTTTCCCTGATGTTATACAAATAATACTAATTTGTAGGTGATTAAAAATAATCATCTTCAGTGAGGTTCCCCCCGCAGATGAGGTCTGCATTTCTTTGGCTAGTCCTCCTGGGTCCAGGCAGACACATTAGTGAAACAACTGGATCATACATTAAGTGGAGAAGATTCCGAGATTGGTGATTTTGATGCATATACAGACTGGATAAACATGAGTCTGAGAACTCAGTACCTTCCACTGAGAATAGCCTACTTCTGTGGCCTAGAACTTTAAATGTGTAGCAAAGACTTCTCACAAAACCACCTAGCAAGGTATCAAGGACTTTTCCATTAACAGAGTGAGACTGCCAAGACTCTAGCAAAACACAGTTGTCTAACATAAATTCACCAAAATCACCACCTGCATATGCTTCCAGAGGCAAACAGCAGACGAATACTACAAGCAGTAAGAAGCCTGCTTTTCCACGTATCAATGATATGTGTAGGTGGTGGTGTGTATAAGATCTGGTTAGGGAGCCCTGGTTGGTTTTTAGCCAGTCTTCCCAACAAACATGACAAGCTGTTATGCTCTGCTTGCAGGGGGCTTTCCTATCTACTAGGGGTTCCTGAACGAGTATTTTCGGAAGAGTCAGGGAATGTGGATGTAGCTCCACAGCAGTACTGCACACCTGTGAAACCACAGCTTCCTAAAGCCCTGTTACTTACCCGTGCTTCCGCTACACTAAATACTCCTGTACACAGCATTTCATTTTGAGACACCCTATGTGCTTCTCAGGCTGATCCGCTACATTACAAACGCCTAAAAAGTATGAACCTGCAATGTTATCTCTAGGGAGTAACTTCATGTCAAATATTTCTCAAATAAGGTCTTGTGCCGGTGAACAGGAATCGTGGCCACTGACTCACTGTCAGGTATGAATTCAAATGCCATCATTATGTGCTTTCTAATGCAAAACAGCCACACTGAGTTTTGCATGCTGCTGTCATTTCAGAATACTTTCTCTTGGTCTGTTTAGATGTTTAACTTAAACACCGTCTCAGATCTCATGCTGTGGGAACTAAGTGGCCACGTCCTTGGTACAAAACCATTACTAAAGATTTTACCAGTTGCAAATCCTGTTGCGATCTCCTAGGAAACGGAAACTGAAAATGTTGTTTGAGATAACAATTAGGAGGATTTAAACTACAAATTTCCCACAGACTTGCAAGAAGTGCAAACAATAATCACTGCGAATCAAACACCAAAATCATTCATTAGGTGCTGTGACATGTAGATAAATATCATAAGCTTAGTAAAAGAAACTTGGGAAAAAAAGCCTGTCTCTTGTGCTAATGTCCACCAAATGTACCCATTGTGACACAAAAGAAGCAGATTAACTTTTATCAAAAGTGACACAGACAAGTTATTCTTGGATAGTTATTCCTGCTAGATCCAACAATTAGTTCAGTGAATTTGGTTTAGGAGGCACATCAATTACATCTGCTGGCAACATGAGATTTACACCTGTGATGAATACCTCGTGTTGTTAATCAGAAAAAATGGTCACAGTGTCCTTGCGATAAAGTCTTGGTTAAAGCATGAAAGGAACAGATGATGCCTTACCTTCTCAGCATCCTGCTCAAAAAGCCGGAGTTGAAAGCACTGGTCCAATTTCAACTTGCGGACGTGCCACATCTGATGCAAGTGTTGCCGGGTAGAATGCAGCTTGTCTAAAAGGCTGGTGATCTTTGGCACAAGACTTTGAAAATCTGCACTTCCAGGAATGCAGTTCCTGCCAGAAAAGCCATCACTGCATCTTATGCATTGTAATAACCTCTGACCCTCGCGATCCAGTTCTTCCACAGGAGCTTTAATCACTTTTTTCTTCAGCTGCGTGTGCTCATCAATCAGCCTTCTTGAGCCCTCGACATCAACTGGAAACTCCTTCCTGGCCAACATTTCCTGGAGATCCTCCAGCCTTGATAATAAATGGATAGCACTGTTGAAAAACTCTTCCAAGGAGACGCGCAACTCTATCCATTCATCATGGTTGTAATCCAAGGATCCTTCAAACTCATCCGTCAGTTGAGAAGGATCTACAAGTTTTGCCAGTCCTTCAACAGATACCATACTTGTCTAAGGAAGGGAAAATGACAGCATTCGAATCAGTGATTGTCTAATCAGAAATAACAGTGCAATTCATCAACACATGAAGGGATTATTTTCCTCATCAATACATAACTGAAGGAACATTGGAAAAGATGGTGAGGACTATGTTTAATTTTGATGAATTAATTAGATTGAAAGCTTTTCTATTAATAGCACTGATTGATTTATTTATTAAAAGACATGACATTTACTGGAATAATGTCTATCTTTTTCATCTGGCCTGACTATCAAAAAACCCATAATGAGAATGCTTCTGGCATAGATTACATTAACCCAGTTGCACACTGAAGGCTTCTTACTGCAGCTGGTTGATAACTAGACATGACTGTTCAATAAACAGGTATTTGGTATTACAGAGATTCTGCTATTTTTGTTACACTCAGGCTAGTGGCTATACAGCTGCAAAAGGTTCAGGCATATGAATTGAAGCCAGTACTGCGACACGCCAAAACCCAGAATATGCTTGTTTTTTCCTTCCAGATTATTCCAGTTGGCTTTTGCCACAGGCAGATCTCTTCCATATTATTAATTTCTAATGTATTTAAGCCAAAATCAAGGTAAAGGTGAAATTTCATTGGAGTCTTAACAATTAGAATTTATTGCTAATAAGAAGTACTGCTCATGAATCATACACAATCAATGAGAGATGGTTTTATTTCATTCAGACTCAGTCATCAGTCATAGAGAAATGCACTGGGTGCCTGGAAAGCAGATTACTGTTTAAGGACACAACAACTGATGGCTGTCCACATTTATTTTAGACAAATTAATTTTTTCAGAAATATGAGCAAAAGGTTTCACATGTTACTAGCAATTTTCAGCACTGTCATATTAACACCCAATTTGGCAGCCTTTAAAAGCTTGTGATGGTCATCAGTGACTGCACATCTATCCCCTAAAGATCAGGCCTCTAAAGAATGTCAGAGTTTGTGCTCTTCAGAAATGGAGGCACCCCATAATCACAGCAATCTTGTAAAAGTCATCTGCAAAGAAAAATACCTCAAGTCCTGTCCATTATCCTGAATTATGTCCAAAATAGCAGACTGCCCACTGGTTTAAAGTTAATAATAGACTTTTCTTCCAATTTGTATCCATCTAAAAAGATCAGGCATTCTGCATTGTATTAAAATTGGGATTTTATTGAACTTATGCTCAGCAGAAAGATTATTTTTAAACTTTCTTGCAACATCCCTTGCCTTTGGGAAGGGTGAGGACAGAGGGAAAAGCCAACGAACAATGGAAAGGTAAGTATGTGGGTTCAGAGGGATTTCAGATTTCTACACCTCTTGACCTGGACACTGACTCCTTGAAGATAATTCCATTTAGAGTTTAAATGCCTGTCAGAAAAAGGCTTCTCTTCATGGCTAATACTTGGGCATTCCCCTCTGCAGTGTGTCAAGCTAATGCAAGAACTGCTCTTATCATGAACAGATTTTGACGCGATTATATAGCAGAAAGGTTTTCCATTTCATGAGTTCTGCAGCAAATTTCTTTATTCAGATTTGTTTCTTTCAGGAGTTCTTGAAACTCTCATGAAAACAACCTTAGCTAGGCAGGTAGGTGGTAAGATAAAGTAACTGTCTCTCAGGCCACACTCATCTTTCTTTTAGAAATCACTTTAGAAAACCATTCCCACTATTTGAAGGCTTTCAGCA